CCCCAAAACCCCAAAACCCCAAAACCCCTAATTTCACAAAATAAATTGAATAATTTTTATCAAATTAAAAAAAAAATGTTCCTTCAAGAGATTATTAACAAGAAAATGAATGAGCCTGATGTAAGCTTTTATTAAATATGATTGTTTAGGACCTAGACGCATCAGAAACTATGAGCGCTAACCCAGCAGCTGGTTTGACTAACGCAACAATGAAAAGGAAGAAGAATGTTATCGGAAGTGCATACAATAGTAACCTTAACTATCCAAAGGACCAGAAGTTCTTCCATAATAATGACATGCCTGACAAAGCAAAAGAAGCAGTAAGACAAGTAAAGGATGCATTTGCACATCATGATAGACCACAATGGAATGCTAGTGTTTCAAAAAGTGGCTTGCCTGTTCCAGATAATGATGATGCAAAATTATTTTCAATAAAGAAAGGGTTTAATGATTTCCATCCAATAAGCATAAAACCTAGTAAAGTATACGACGGAACTGACACTAGGAATAACTATGACACAAGAGGCTGGAATGTCTCTAACCAAGTCCCGATCCCTCTTCATGACCAAAAGAGAATTGCTGAAGAGTAAGTTATCTCTAAACTTTCTAGAACCGCAATGAGAATGACTAAGACCAAGGAATTCAATGAGAAAGTGTTGACTAACTATAAAACCCCATTTGAGAAAGCTAAGGAACATTCTGAGAATCTGAAACTTACTAGAACCATGGAGCAGGACTGGAAAAGCACTATTAAGTCAGAGATAGACTCCCAAATGCCTAAGGCCAGTGAAGAGAAAAAGCAAGCTATTGTGATGAAGACTATGTACGAAGAGAGGTTTAAGCACCAAGAACATGAAGACCAACATGAACTCACTTTCAAACCAAATCTTAGCAAAACTTTGGTCTCCAGGAGGAAAAGAGTCTATCATCATACTGGAAAATGGGAGAAATCTAAGTTTGAAGACTGAGAGGTCTGGTCCTGTTGAATGAGTTATGACAAAGATTCAGAAGGATGCAATGTCAGAATAATTGACCCTGATAAATACAATATTGCATCATTCTAGTTCTGGAAACTATGTTCAACCAGAAATAAAATCTAAGGGGTTTTGGGGTTTTGGGGTTTTGGGGTTTTGGGG